AAACAGGAAAAATTAACTTTGAAAGGGTGAAAAACACTGCTAGTCACTGAACAAATAGTGTTTCATGTTAGACATCAAACCTTTTTTTGTTAGGCATTCAACTTTCATTTTGTTTCCATTTAGGCACTTTTCTACTCATGTTTGTTGGATTAACACAAAAGATGATGTGGCATGAAAATTCACAGGTGCATTTTTTTTGTTGCCGAACTAGGCAAAAAGGTGTGTTGTTAGAAACCACTCCTTTTCCCCCTTCTTTCCTTGTTTTGTTTCTTCATAAAAGAGCATTTGAAAAGCACGGCTTGTTCAACAATACAATTTTTTGCCTAGCTAGACAATAATAAAAATTATGCACTAACGTACTTTCCAGGCCATATCATCATTGCCATTACCATGCACTTTAGTTCAGTAGAATTACCCAAAATGAGACAAAAATGAAAATTGAGTGACTACCTTGGAAAAGAAGACAGTTCAGTGCTAAAGTGAAAGAATGTTGTAAGTTGGCTGACAGCAGTGCTTTTAACCCAGCTTCGAAAAGATCATTGAACAAGTTTTAAGTTGGTTTCTATGACTCACATGATTGACTTCAATGTTCTCATGGATGTGATGAACATTATGCATAGACCTCAAATTCCTCTCGTTCTCGACTGGAGCTAACAACTCTTGGCTATAAACAAAATTCAAAAGAGATGTGAGAGAGAGGATAAAATGCATGTGTTTTACATACATGGCGTGCAGAGAAATTTCAGTGATAGCTGTGATGCATAAGTGCTTTATTCTACTTGGCATCATCATAAGACGTATAATACCTCAAAGGATCCTTTAAGACAAGAAGCTGCCAACACATTGGACATTCTTTGCTTCTCTGTGACCTAAAAAAGAATTGAAATTTATTCAATTAAAATTAGAAACAAACAGAGCAAGCAAAACCATAAAGGTGCTGGTTGTGCAGTGCATCTATAGAAGTACAAGGAAAGGTGCAGGAAGAGAGTTTCTAATATTTAAACATGAACAAGGTAAAAATAGGAAAACCTACCATTCAAGGATACACTGTAAATGAAACTCATGCTTACACTTGGTGACCTGGCATAACAGAAAAATGAAATAAATACATCTTTATTACAAGAGTTACTTCATATTTGTCCTGAAATCCATTAAGTTTGATCATCGCCAAATAAACTCACAAAAGCGTTAATAGAACCCCACAACCGACCTAACTGTATGCATCAAATAGCACAGACAATTAAAAGAAAATTCTGAACAGTATCTTAAGGAATTGGAATCAGCCATATTGGGAAACAAGATTGCTAGAAAACACAGTATGAATAATCAGAATTTTGGTAGAGACGCTGACAAATTAGTGCATTTAGTAGGGACTATCTTTTCCTGCCAGCTAAAAAAATCCATAACTCATGACAACCCTATCCCCAA